GTTCCGCTAACCCAGCAGCGCTTGAGCACATAAGAGTAGCCTCATTTGAGCATTTTTCTTTCTTTTGTTGATTTAACTTAGATTTTGTTCATCCCCTTTTAGGCAGACATACTGATTTTTTAAGCAGGTTACTATAACCAGACCTAGTCTCAGGACGTGTTAAAGCTCACTCAGAATTGACAATGTTCAAATAACAAAAGCTGTGCAAATGAAGGTCAGATATTGACAACTGAAGAACAACATTCCAGCTGACATTATTATAGCCAATTCTGGCTCCTTGCAGTATTTTCTCTGCTTTCTCCTACAGTTAAGAGATATAGAGAAAATAAACCTATTAGTCATTGATCTATAAGAACAGTTACAGCTCAATGAAGGAGAGAGCTTATGCATAATCTGATACAGAAGATATTAAAATAGGATTAACCAGTATTTATTTTAACTGGGAATAATCCTTACTGTGCACCAGATAAGGTATCCTGCTTGAATGAAAAAATAACACGCCCTTGGCAAGTACAGAGGTTGCCTCCATTCCAGTGGCTTGCAGGAACACAAGTAATTTGCAAGCCACGACATATGCAAGAATAATTTCACATAGAACCTGAACATCTTCGAAAGACAGCTCTTTCAAGGCAGGATGTTTTAAAAATCAGCCTTTAAAACTAGATGCTACTAGTTCTAATGGTCTCGTGAACCTGAACTAACCTTGGTAACACTAAAGGAAGAAACTTCCTGTTGAATTATTTACTCTGTGAATTTGATGAGTCTTGCACGTTGCTGGCTTGGAGACAGTCACTCTATTTGTGAGTATTTGTTACGTTGCAACGAAGATCGGAACAATAATAAAAAATAGCTTTGAAATTGTGCTTTTTAAAATTAAGTAATTAAGTGATGCAAAAGTATTTCTATATGTATTTTTTGTGGTGGAAAAATATTCATATTGGCAGCAGCTCTCAGCCATTGTGGGAGATGGGTATGTGGCATTAAAAGAGAAAACTGTATCCAAATGGAAGTGCCAAGGGAAGCTCAAACCTTATTTAAGCTGGAACCTCGCCACGGTACCAGGTGCTCATACCAAGAACACACAAAATTTCGGATATGCCACAATAGTCAAAACTCGGGTTTACAGCTTGGCCACAAAAATACCAGCTCCAAGTGCTCATTAACAACAGGCACTAGGGAACTGTGGCAGGTTTTAAATCAAGAAGAATAAAACCTACAAAGGAAGAGACCCCATTTCCTGCTGCGTGCAGCACGTGCAGGTAATTCTGCCTGGAGCCCTCAAACGCCACCCAGTTTGGCCAGTCAGGCACCACAGGAAGGAGCACGAATATCCGAGCTGGGAAAAACCTGCACAGTTCTGCCAAGAGCCAGGCTCACTTCTGCCCTACGGAACTGGAAAGGTTGTGGGTGCATGAGAGCCGTCAGCTCAGCTTAGCTCACTAGCTCCCAGCTTGAGTGCTGCAGACCCTCAGAGGTCCATGAACTGCTTTTAAGGCACGTGGAAGAGGTAGATGAGCAAAGGAAGCCTGAGGTTACTGTAAAGAGACCGTGCACGTACTGGGAGATTTCTAAAGACCCACAGAGATATAAAAACTAGAAAACAATGGTCAATTTATTAAGTTTCCTGTGTGCTTTCCAAAGAACCACATTGTAATTAACTGTTTGTGTTGCAAACTATTCTCCACCACATTCTACATATAAAACAGGAGCGGAAATACTTTGACAATTCTCATTTAGGAAAATATACAGTGAATACGGACTGGTGTGATATTTATTAGAAGCACAGAAAAATGTGCTTGCTAATGTTATTCAAGACAACACAAATAGTTTTTAAATGACTCACTATATTTTTACTAATTCTGGGACATCACTCCCCATTTCTTATTCTACATTGAGCTGATAAAACTGAATTTTTATGTAGTCCTTTCTCAAGAACTCACCACTGGTTCAGGATCCATCCACATGGATTTCAGAGGTCTGAAATTTTTATTGTTTCCCCCCCACCCTTTTTTTTTTTTTTTTTTTGAGGAGATTGTCAGGAAAAAAAAAAGACAACAGAAGGGTTCATCCACTGTAACATGAAGAAACACAAAATCAAGGGCAGTTGCTCAGAGGATGGGGCAGTTCTAGGCACCAATATAAACTGAAATCATCTCAATACACAGAGGTTGAGCATGAACGAGCTGCTATAGTGAATTAACAAAGACACACAGACAATATGGGCACTATCACACCCTAGGCGATGGTATTCCGTAGTGTTGGCTGGATATGAAGACTCTCAAGAGGGATACTGAAAGCGAAAACTGGGTATCCTGGGCTAAATTTATCTTAAGGGGGTACTGCAGAAAGTTCCCTTTGCTTCTCTCTCCCAACATTTTATCATTTTATATTGGTGATTGCCTTTTTTTTTTTTTTAAGGTATCCATACATTTAGATTAACTTCCTTCAAAGAGGACTTTTATCTATAGAGTTTTTAAAGAGCCACACACTGTAACAGCATTATGAAGTGACTGGATGGGACAGGACACAGGCCTGGAAAAGCAAGACTCCCGTAAGCAGCAGGTCCCAGCTCCAGGCACTACCACTCCTCTTCCTCGCCCTGCAAAGCAGCGCCACGAGGGCTGGCAAGGCGTGAAAGGAAAGGTGATGAGATCATCGTGAGTTAATAGGAGTGAGGACACGCTGCTGTCGTGGCTACCTGCAAGCTACACTGATAAGCAAGTTACCTCTGAACCTGGATGCTTTCCATGCAGGTTTCCAGAAAACACACACACGCAGACACAAAATACTTGGTTTCCCTATACCTGGGCTTTGATTTTCTTTAAGAAATTCATTTTGCGATCTCTAAAAAATAAACTGGCTTCTGAGTTATCAAGTGTATCAAGAAGTAGCAGTTGTTTCCTCTTTTTCTTGATTCTCTGCAGACACGTTTGCTATCCCATTATTTGCCTGTGCTACCCAGAAGTTTTGTTCCCATGCCTTAAGGAGAAGCATTAGAAAACAAAACCCATCTTCAGACAGTTTTTCATTGTGATGCCTCATCATAAAGTCTACAAAACCAGCTCAGCCAACCACCATGGGGTGAACGGAGACAGAACTGTCCTTTCTCCTCTCCTGCTTCCCAGCAGCCAGCGGGGAGCCAGGATGCAGGATCAGGGATTCTGAAGGACCTGGAGGCAGGAACAAGAAAATGCTCTGTCCACACCACGCTCGCCGAATCTGTGCACGAGGCATCCTCACCCTGACAGCATCTCCTGCCTACGCATCGAGCCCATTACTGGAAAAGTTTCCTAGGCAGGTCTGGTGATAAGGGAGACTGGGCAAGGACTAAGCAGGGAAGTGAAGATAAAAGGAAGCTCTGGAGGGAAGAGGAGTAACATGGGAAAACCTGGCAAGAACACGAGCGCTGTGCAGGACACGAGCGAGGAGGGGAAAGGAGAAAAGCAGCAAATGAAAATTCAAAGTGATGAAAATTGGAGTGAAAACAAGAATAAAGAGAAGAAATATGATGTGTCTAGTATTTATTTTTACTGTGGAGAACCAGACAAATAGCATTCAGCAAGCAAATTATTCTGTAAATTCTGCTCAAATTTTTTTCACAGCTATTGTGACTAACTGAATAGCTGTTCAAATATTTCCAGAACGATGACAGCTTTCACCAGACTAAGAGATATCGAAATACAGCCTATTTGACCTGCTATTATGACACTCACTGAAAATATATTATGATTAAAACCCAGCAAGCTACCAACAAAGTTTAAGTGTCGTATATTATTCTTTTGAATTGCATGATGAGGTGGAAAGATTTTTCTTACTACATTCATGCATTTATCATTATTCATGTATTTATCAGCTACCTAAAAGACACAAAGTAAATTGCCTTTCCATGATCTCTCTCAGACTGAAGAATCCCCTTCTGCATGATTTAAACTTGAAACTTAGATTCAATGAACACTGAATAAATCTTTCCCAAAATACAAATGTCATTTGGACTACAAAGGTAACCTGTCCCCTCACTGTCTATTTTAGGGCCAGAGCTGATGTGGTGATAGTGCAGGACTAGCATCAGAAAGGCTTTAAATCTCAAGAATCTGCTCCTTAAATAGAAAACATGAAGCAAGGAAACCAGACACGAAGCAAGGAGACCAGACAAACACTTAATCTAGGAAAGAGAGTTGTCAACTAAACAATGAATTCCCTGGTGGAGAATTGCTTAATAGAGCTGAAATGAATTTAAGCCTTAAAACAAACAAACCAACAAATTCTTATCACTGGAGATGGACACAGAAAAGCATTTTCTACTTTTTTGTCTACATTATTTATCTTACTTTCTCAAGAGTGAAGACAAACTATTTCAGAATCCCTTTTGCAAAAGTTTCCCCCTCTTTTTCTCCTAAGTGTATCCTCATTCCCATGCATCCTTACAGAGCCACACTAAAAATCAACATGCCCTCAAGGTCTGGCACCACCGGATTATTGGAATACATTGTGGAATCAGCCTAGAAGCCATGCACTGAGATCCAGCCTCTGTGAGGAGGGAACAGAGGCTGCAGAAGTGCTCTTAGCTCCTCAGATAAACAGAAGATTAAACCAGTTGGGTCTGAGCACAGAGTGGAAGGTAAAGCCAGACTGAAGCCACCTCTTGCCCGCCTGCTGGGAGCACATGCACTTAATGCACCTACTTAACACACAAGGCTCAAGCTCTTACAGAATCAGGGCCAAGCACTTGTGCAGTCCATATACTTAAGAATGTGCTGCTCTGCCTGTTTTCTGCTGTAAAGTGCCTGTTTTCAAAGAGCAACTCGCAGAATAACAGGTGTTATTCCTCTTGTCTGTACAGGAACTGTCACTTCCAGCCTTGCTTGTTGGTTTTTTTTGAACAGATTTTCTCCTTAGAGCTCACACTCTTCCCACCACATAACTACCCTCACCAATGCCTCCCCTGAAACATACTTTGGATATGATAAATATAGATAAAATAAATTATATAACTCCTATACCTGTACCAGCCAGATCCCATCTTTTGTGTCTTCTACAAGCTCATAGAAGTGCATTTCACCACTGAAGTTTGTACTTGAAACAGACTCAGAGGCCTCTTCCTCCTTGAGAGCAGAATAAAGCTCTCCTTCCATGAGATCTCCTGAGAAAGAGGCAAAAGAGAAATAAGTTTAAATGACACGTGAAAAAGATGATTAATAAATTCTGATACTGATGCCAATTGCTTATTAGCAGCAGCCAATTTGGCAGAGCCGCAATTTCATTACATGTATTTTAGGTGATTGCTCATAAGACGTTTTCACCCTGAAGTCAGCCAAACTTTTTTAAAGTTTAGTCCTATATGTAGTGGACATGACTACCAACAATTTGTCTTCTGATATCAGACCACGGAGGGCTTTATCAGCGCATTTCTGATGAGACACAAGTACCATACACATGCAACCAACCACGCAAAAAAAATAAACAACAAGAAAAGAGTTAACGAACACCTAAACCTGACTACGTGAAAACAGCAATATTTTAATGGCAGACAGCGATTTAATTTAGATATCTCCCCTTTCACTTTTCAGGGTGATGACATTACAGCAAACACGAATTGTTAACACTGATAATTCAAACAGATTTCCAGAATTCTTGTTGATAATGTTGTACACAAAAGCATCAGCTGTCCCACTGCAAGCAAAAATAACATGCAGGACAGGTTGGCAGTTGGTTTTGTCTGCAAAATAAGAAAAACCTTCCACAATCTCTGGTCTTAGCAAGGCAAGTTATTCACAGTAAAATAATTTCATAGTATTTCCGCTGTAATCTCATTTCCCTCTCACATGTTCTTGGCTGTCATTACGAACACTGTTAATAATAGCACGTGCTCTGACAAGTAATTTATTAACTCTGAAAAACATGACGAGGTGTGCAAAGAGGCTGTTTCTTGCGAAACGAAAAGCCAAAACGAAAGCGTTAATGGCCGAAACCCTTTGGAGGGTTTCCAAAAATATTAGCGCTACTTAGAGAAGAAAAAAAAAAAACACTACTAATAAAAAGGGGGGAAATCCAGCAGAGCCTAGTGGTGTTAGGAGCGTTTCCGTGGCATGTGAAGAAGTCGGTCAATACAGTCAGTTTGGAGTCAAGCACTTCCCTGCAGCATTTGCCACCCAAACAGAGGGACGGCTCCAGAGCGCCTGAGGAGGGACCCGAAATAAAAGCGGAGTCGTGGGATCGCCCCCGGGCTTCCCAGGCGGCCAAAACACGGCACGACGGCCTCAGGCAGGTGTCAAACCCAGCGAGCCTTTCCAGGGCCCTGGCCCAAGCGCTGCTCCGCCAGGAGCTTCCTCCCATCTCCATCCTTCGCTGCCTCCAGGTTCTACCTGCTCCCCAAGCGCCTGCCCGGCTTTATTTTTAATTATTGTTAATATTATTTTAGCCCCCCCTCCCTTCTGGCCTCCTCCGAGCCGTCCTTTTCGGCAGACAGGAGCCACCTCATCCCGAAATGGAGCGAAAGCAGAAAAACAAACGAGTAAAAAAAAAAAAAACAAACAAAAAACAAACAAAAAAAAACCCAATATCAAAGGCGGGAAGGGGCCCCCCAAGGGCAGCGCTGCGGCGGGCGCCAGCTCGACGCTCCGCGCAGGCCTCCGCCGCCGA